CATTACTTTGGTTTTTGGAGATCTCCTCCCCCCCCCCCTTGGTGGAGAAAAGAGACGGGCCTGGGGCAGCCGGGGGTAGTGGTTAGAGAGTGTCAGGCCAGGGTCTAGGGATGCCAGCCTCCAGGGGGGGAGGCCTGGGGATCCCCTGGAAGGAGGGCTCCTCTCCAGAGTGCAGGGGTCAGCTCCCCCTGGGGGGGGGAAAGAAATCGATGCTTTGGAGGGGTGGGCTCTGGGGCGTTGTGCCCCCACGGAGGTCCCTGTCCTCCCCAGGCTCCATCCCCACATCTCCTGTCCCCCACCATCCCCTAGAGGACCTGACAGCAGTGTGTCCCTCTAAGCTGAGTGAGTGTGAGCCAGCTCACAGTTTTGTAGCCTCCGGCTCACACGTTTTTGTCTCGGCTCAGGAAGGAGGGCTCCAGACTAGCAAACTGATTTATGCAGCAGCCAAACCGCTCGCTCACAACTTTAGTGCCAGCAGCTCACCAAGTAGAATTTTTGCTCACAAGACTCAGCAGCTTAGAGGGAGCATTGCCTGACAGCACTATTAGGAGCCTATTAGGTTGGAATCAGCGTTCCCTCTAGCCTGGGTTAGTGTGAGATAGCTCACACATTTCTGTCTTAGCTCAGGAAGGACAGCTCCAGAGCAGACTAATTCATGCAGTGGCCCAATCGCTCGCTCACAACTTTAATGTCAGTCGCTCGCAAAGTAGGATTTTTGTTCGCAAGACCCCGCGGCTTAGAGGGAGCGTTGGACCAGGGCAAACCACCTCTGTTCATCTCTGGCTCTGACAGCCCCACATAACTGGGATCCCTTTCAGAGTTCCCTCTGAGCTGAGTTAGTGTGAGCCAGCTCACCACCGGCTCACACATTTCTGTCTTAGCTCAGGAAGGAGGGCTCCAGAGCAAACTAAGTTATGCTGTAGCCCAATCGCTCATACCCAACTTTAATGCCAGCAGCTCACAAAGTAGGATTTTTGCTCACAAGACTCCACAGCTTAGAGGGAGCATTGGCAAACTTCAGTGCTCACTTTGGGGACTGCTTTTTCCGTCTCGGAAAGCCCGAGACCGTTTCTCACATGAGGCAAGCACAGAGAACAGTACCAAGAAGGCTTCTAAAAGCTGCCAAGGCTAAAGCCGTTTTCCCAAGTGTGCCACCCTAAAATTACAAATATCTGTTCGGAAAGCCGTTTGCGTAAGAGAGATACTACAGAGCAGGCAGATCTTTAAGGATATCGGTCTTAACTAGTTCTGCATTTTATGCCTTCTTCCCCCAAAGGAGCTCAGGGCAGTGCGCATGGCTTTCTTTTTCCCGTTTGTCTTCCCAACAACAACCTTGTGAGGTCAGTGAGGCTGAGACAGAACGACTGGCCCAAGGTCCTTCAGCAGGCTTCACGATGGCAGAGGGCGGGATTTGAATTTGGCATCCCCAGATCCTAGTCTGGTACTCCAACCACCACACCACACCGGTTGTCCCACGGACGAGGGAGGGTTGCATGCTGTGGAGAGATTGCGTCTTGCTGCTTCTTGATGTGGCTCCTGGCCAGCGAAACCTCAGGGCCTGTTCACACGTGTGCCGGGTGTTCTGTGTCTGGAGGTCTCTGGAACTCCGCTCTCGGGCATACTCTGAACAGGATCTGAGTGTGGAAAGGGGGTCCAGGGGCCCTGCCTCATCCAAAGCCAAGCCAGGAGCATGGGATCAAAGTCCTCAAGGATGGCAGCCCACTTTCAGGGAGCTGGGATGTCTTTCTGCCTTGCCTCAAGTTTGTGACTGCGAATCTCAGAGTCCATCTTGGGGCTTAATTCTGATCTGGTGTTCTGCATCCGTCTGCTTTCCTCTCACCTCTTGTTCATCCGGGGACCACGGATCAGGGCTCAGGCATCTGCTTGGCCTGCAGAAGGTCCTGGGCTCAGTCCCTGGCACCTCCAGTGAAAAGAATCAGGTGGCCGGTGATGGGGAAGACCCTTCTCTGCCTGAGCCCCTGGAGACCAGCTGCCAGTCTTAGCCAATATAGATCCTGATGGACCAAGGGTCTGTTTCAGTATAAAGGGATCCTGAAGGGGTGTTTTCCCCCCCTTCCTTTCGCCATCTTCTGGGCATAGAACAGGGGTCACTGGGAGTGTGGGGGGGCTGCATTGGCTCACAGTGGATTCCCTGCATTGGGAACCTCCTTGGTCTTGAAGAGGCCACAAGACTCCTGCTGATTTCTGCAGCAGGAGACTAACATGGCTGCCCCTCCGAAAGAAGCCCCAAGTCCGTAGACAAGTGTTTCCCCGAGTGCTGACGAGGCGGCAAAGGCGCCAGTTTCCAAGTAGGAATTTTGTGGGATGAATCAGCCGGGCCCCTTGGCAGTGCTTCGGCATTCAGGGAAATCTTGCTGACTCTTGAAAGCGAGGGAGGGCCAGAACTGGACGCCAAGCCTGTGGCCCAGGGGAGATTTCAGCCACCTGACAGTGTGTCTGACGGGGCATGTCATCCTGGGGCACTACAGTGTTGTCTCCTGGGCCAACACGCCTGAAAAACTGTCAAACGGGTCGCAAGCGGCACGGCGGGAGAGAGGGACGGGGGACAGGAGGAACTGGTGTTTGGCAGGCAGAAACCCACAGGAGAGACTATGGGGGTGGAGACTTGGCAAGCTTTGTGGAGTTACACAGGTCCTATCTCAGGCTCCTTCAATGTGGGTCTGAGGTCTGGCTGTTCTAGGCGAAGGCCGGTGTCGTGTTATCGGGCACAGTCTGTGGTGGCTGCCGCAGGTTATGGAACTCGCCTCCCCTTGGAGGCCTGCCGGAGTGCAAATGTGAGCATCTTTTGAAAGAGCTGGAAGTCCAGGGAGGGTTGGTTTAAGCCGGCAGAAGGACAGGGATTATGAAGGGGCCATGGCTCAGTGCCAGAGCCTCTGCTTGGCCTGCAGGAGAAGAAGAAGAAGAGATTGGATTTATAGCCCTCCCTTCACTACCCGGAGGAGCCTCAGAGCGGTTTACAATCTCCTTCCCCTTCCCCTCCCCACAACAGACACCCTGTGAGGGAGGCGGGGCTGAGAGAGCTCTTTTGAGGACTGCCCGTGAGGGAACAGCTCTGAGAGAACTTGTGACTGACCCAAGGTCACCCAGCTGGCTGCAAGGTGGAGGAGTGGGGAATCTAACCCGGTTTTCCCAGATTAGCGTCCACATTCCAAACTGGCTCCCCCTCTTCAATCCCTGGCAGTTGAAGGATCTGGCAGGTGATGAGAAAGACCTCTGCCTTACACCTTGGAGCGCCACTTCCAGTTTGCGTAGACCCCGCTCGACTGATGGTCTAATGCAGTATAAAGCAGCTTCATGTGTGTGTTCGTGAATTTTCTCATAATCTGATTCCATTTCATTCTTTGCCACTGGGGTTTCTTTGTGCTTTTCAAAACGTTTCCTCGGGTTGAGGGCAGAGCTGTGAGTCCAGATGTGAGTCTCGGTGCTGAACCAGAGCCACTTCCAGTTTGCGTAGACCCCGCTCGACTGATGGTCTAATTCAGTATAAAGCAGCTTCACGTGTGTGTTCGTGAATTTTCTCATAATCCGATTCCGTTTCATTCTTTGCCGCTGGGGTCTCTTTGTGCTTTTCAAAACGTTTCCTCGGGTTGAGGGCAGAGCTGTAAGTCCAGATGTGAGTCTCGGTGCTGCACCGTCTGCCTGCCGTAGCTCACAAACTTGAATTTTTGCTCACAAGACTCCACAGCTTAGAGGGAACATTGGCCAGTGGTGGACTTTCTTCTTACCTTGATTTAAGGGATCCTCTTAAGATTGTGGGAGGAGCTGGTAAAGATCCACTGACCTCACTGCAAGTCTAGAGTTGGGAAGGACCCCAACATAATCTGGTCTGGAAGTGGACAGCCGATCGGTCTCGATCCATGAATTGTCCACTGGAGAGATGGAAGAGGCAGGGCACCTTTTTCGCTCTGACTGGCCGTGGCTCTCTTCGGTCTCAGGAAGAGGGACCCCTTCCCCATCCCCTGCTACCTGATCTCTAACTAGTAGAGATGCTGCTGGGGATTGAACTGGGGCCCTTCAGCCACCCATATGCAGCTGCCATGTGCAACCCATTGTGGGCACGGTGGATTGCTCCTGCCGTGTGCAGCCTTTGGACAGCGCCTTCTGCATTTGGCATTGGCTCAGAGAGGCTTCCTGTGTGATGGCTCCTCCCTGTGTTACAACTGCCAGGTGCACTCTGTTTTGGTTCGTGTCGCGTGAGATCCAGCTCAGGCTCTCCAGGCACTGTGGACAGTCTTCTGTGTGGGCCTGCTTAGACTGGGGTTGGTGTCCCCATTACCTAGAGTCAGTTTGGTGGTTAGGAGCGCGGACTCTAATCTGGGAGAACCAGGCTTGAAACCACACTCCTTCACATGCAGCTGCTGGTGTGACCTTGGGTCAGTCACAAGTCCTCTCAGAGCTGTTCTCTCAAGGGCAGTCCTTGAAAGAGCTCTCTCAGCCCCACCTACCTCACAGAGGGTGTCGGTGGTGGGGAGGGGAAGGGAAAGGAGTTTGTAAGCCGCTCTGAGACTCCTTTGGGTAGTGAAGGGCCATGGGGTATAAATCCAATCTCTTCTTCTTCTTCCCCCACAGCCAACTCTTACACTTCCCTCTTTCCCCTCTGCTTTGCACAGCCTCACGTGTTTCTGGCTCCACGGCCTCCCCACCCCCAGCTGTGCTTTTGAGTCCTGTTCTCTGTGTCCAGAAGCTCCCGGGGGGGGGGGTTGGGGGTGCTTCCAGCAATTAGAAAGTGGGGCGTTAGAACCTGCATGTCTCCGGTCCGTGCCCCTTTCCCCTGCCATCCCCATAATCAGAGTGGTACAGAATCAGCAAAGATTTGTATATGAGTCGGCCAAGCTGCCTCTTACCTGTACCAACTTCACACCCCCAAACTCCGTAGAGCCCTCTCTTTGGCGAGATTCAATGTATTACCTTCGGCCTTATTATCTAGCCGCTTTCAGGGTGTGCCCTTTTCTGACAGATGTTGCCCATGTGCAAATGATAATATCGAAACCATGTCCCATGTCTTGTTTCAGTGCCCCTTCTACCATGCACTACGACTGAAATGTCTGAATTTTACTTTGGCTCAATTAGACGAATATCCTGATTGCCGAAAGATCCTTATTCTTCTTGATCATTCAAACCTTGAGATAACGGAAACTGTTGCTAAATTTCTTTTTGGTGCCATTTCTATTCGCCCTTTATTTAATTGATGGGTATACTTACTTGGTAATTCCTTGTATCTGTGTTTTGCAAATCTTATTCTATGCTGTGGTCGTTTTTGTTGTACATGGGTTTACAAGGGTTACATGCCAATAAAGGTAACTGGACTGAACTTATACATGTTGTAGTAGAGAGCCAGTTCGGTGTAGCGGTTAAGTGCGCGGACTCTAATCTGGGAGAGCCGGGCTTGATTCCCCACTCCTCCACTTGCTCCTGCTGGATGACCTTGGGCAAGCCATAGTTCTTCAGAGCTGTCTCAACCTCACCTACCTCACAGGGTGTCTGTTCTGGGGAGCGGAAGGGAAAGGAGTTTGTAAGCTGCTCTGAGACCGTGAGTGAAGGGTGGGGCATAAATCCAATCTCTTCTTCTTCCTCTTCCTTAAGAGAGCTAGTTTGGTGTCATGGTTAAGTACGTGGACTCTAATCTGGGAGAACCAGGTTTGATTCCCCACTCCTCCTCCACTTGCACCCGGCTGGATGACCTTGGGCAAGCCACAGTTCCCTCAGAGCTGTCCTTGAAAAAGAGCAGTTTTCTGTCAAGAGCTCTCTCAGTCCCGCCTACCTCGCAGGGTGTCTGTTGTGGGGAGGGGAAGGGGAAGGAGTTTGTAAGCCTTCTTCTTAGCAGGGGTACGTGCAGCTGGAGACTGATGCTCACTGTCATGGCTCTGTCGTGACACTCACAAGGTCCTTTTAGCAAGCGGCGCAGGCCGAGCTGGAGGTGACGGCCGGCCCTGGTGGGTGAACTCCTTTCTCTCCTTGCCCGCAGGCTCTTCAGTGGAACCCGGAGGCCCCGCCCATGGCCGCCATCCAGCCCCTCAGCCCCCTGGAGCAACCCCCCGCGAGCGACGGCCCCCCCGAGACGGCCGACCTCTCCCTGACGGTCATGGCCGAGATCCAGGCCGTGGAGAGCAAGGTGGACTCCTACGCCGCACAGCTCATGAGCTTGGAGGGCCGGATGGGGATGGCGGAGACCAAGCTGGACGGCTGCGAGAAGACGGCGGTGGAGTTCGGGAACCAGCTGGAGAGCAAGTGGGCCGCCCTGGGGACCCTCATCCAGGAGTACGGGCAGCTCCAGCGGAGGCTGGAGAACATGGAGAACCTCCTCAAGAACCGGAACTTCTGGATCCTCAGGCTGCCCCCGGGCCCCCGGGGAGAAGTCCCCAAGGTAGGAGTCTGCAGGGCCGGGCGCTGCGTGCCGATCCACCGGCTTGGCTTCTCCCGGAAGGCTCCTCCTGCCTGCGGGACTCCTCTCGGAGGGGCGGGGGCTGTCTCCTAGGTCAACGCCGCCCTCCCGTTGTTCTCACAGGCAGTACAGGCTGAAGCAGGTTGTTGAAGGGTAGAACAACCTCCCAGACAGGCAAGTGGAGCCCCACGGACACAGAATTCTGGGATGAGGGGCTTTGCTTCAGCGGTCTTGGTCTGGGGAAGGGATCCCGCAAGGTTTCTCTCGCCTTGCCAAGCCCGTCAGAGGCTGATCAAGCTCAGTTTGCCTTTCTCAGTCAAACTGTACTGCTGGCCAGTGTTGCCTCTAAGCTGAGTTAGAGTGAGCTAGCTCACAGTTTTTTATCCTCCACCTCACACATTTTTGTCTCAGCTCAGGAAGGATGGCTCCAGAGCAAACTAATTAATGGAGGAGCCAAATGGCTCGCTCATAACTTTAATGCCAGTAGCTCACAAAGTAGGATTTTTGCTCATGAGACCACAGCTTAGAGGGTACATTGCTGCTGGCCGCTGACTGTTGCAGTAAAGCGATTAATTGATCGATCAAGCTCAGGGATATTTTAACGGGTTTCTTCATGTACATTTTAATCGTTGCGTTTTAAAAGTGGGTCCTCCCCCTCAAAGTGCGAGGGGCCAGTGTGGACATTTTAAAAATGACTCCTTCCTCTGCATCAGCCCCCGGTGTCGCAGGTCCATAGAAAGAGGTCCAGCCGTCACAGGTTTCAGGGCCAGCCCCTGTGGGAAGGCCAGTGAGAATGCAGAAAGTCAGGTTTTAGTTCTGGGGAATGGATTCAGGAGGAATGTTAGATGTGATTGACATCTAGAGACAGGATGGGGACGAAAGGAGACCGTGTAGGCTTGTGTGTCCATGTGGGCAACTAGCACTTGTTTGCACGTGGGTTGTTCTAACTTGATTATTGTTTTAACGTATCTTGACGTTTTAATATATTTATATATTAAATAGTTTTTAATTTAATAATTTAATAATAATAATATATTAAATATTATATATAATAGCTGCGGTGGCTCAAGTGGTTAAGATGCTGAACTGCAGGCTGTGGAAGGTCGGTTGTTCAGCAGTTCGAGACCCGGGTTGTGGCATGACGGGGTGAGCTCCCGTCTCTAGTTCCAGCTCCTGCCAACCTAGCCATTCGAAAGCAAGAAATTGCAAGTAGATAAATAGGGCCCACTTTGGTGGGAAGGGAACAGCGTTCCGTGCGACAGTGGGAGGGCTTCGAATGTCCTGGCCCCACTGCTGGACCTCCTGATGGCACTGGTATTTCTGGCCACTGTGTGACACAGAATGTTGGACTGGATGGGCCTTTGGCCTGATCCAACATTGGCGTCTCTTATGTTCTTATGTTCTTATGTGTGCCTTGGCATCTAGTCATGCCGGCCACATGACCTTGGAAATGTCTTTGGACAGCGCTGGCTCTTCGGCTTTGAAACGGAGATGAGCACCGCAACCCTGGCGTCGGACTCGACTGGCTTTCGAGCAAGGGAACCTTTACCTTTACCTTTATTTATATATATTCTGTAAGCCGCCCTGAGCCTGCTTGGCAGGGAGGGCGGGATATAAATCAAACAATCAATAAATAAAATGCGAGGGGTGCCCACCAATGTTCCCTCTAAGCTGAGTTAGTGTGAGCTAGCTCACAGTTTTTTAGCCTCCGGCTCACACATTTTTGTCTCCGCTCACACTAAGGATGTGGCTCCAGAGCAAACTAATTTACGCCGCAGCCAAATCGCTCGCTCACAACTTTAATGCCAGGAGCTCACAGAGCAGAATTTTTGCTCACAAGACTCCACAGCTTGGAGGGAGCCTTGGTGCCCACAGGCCCCAAACGGTTGGTGATCCCTGACACGCACCGCTGTTGAGCATGGGCACCACTGGCGAGCCCCCCGTCTCACACCTCAAACTGGTAGCTGGGAATGAGCATGAAAGCCCTTGCCGGTGAGTGGCCCGGCCAAGCCTGCAGAAGCGAGTCGTGCCCCCGGGGACGTGGCGGCAAGGGAGGGTGACGAGACCTCCTGCCGTTTGGTGTGTCCGCAGGTCCCAGTGGTGTTTGACGAAGCCTCCTGCAGCTTCTCCGAGCAAGAGTGGCGGAGCCTGGACGACGAGCAGAGGGACCTCTACAAGCACATCATGAAGTGCAACTACAAGGCCGTGGTCTCGATGGGTAAGGGCCCCCCCCCTCCACAAGAGGTGGCCGAGCACGTGGGGCGGAGGGGGCAGGGCAGGCGGGCTGAAAGGCAGCTTTGCTTTATGGCTCCACCTGCGTAGTCTGGACTCTCAGCAGAGAGACAGGTGCACGGTGGCAGGTGGTCGGTCTTGAGGACCCCAGACGGGAGCGAAACTCGTCCATTGAGCCCCTTTGAGAGAGGGGCATTTGGCCCTATTTCCATCCCGACTCCTGTCCTTCCCCTTGTAGGCTGAGAGAATCACTGTGGGGGTAAGGAGAAGACTTGTGTGATGTCCTTGCTTATAGGGGAAACGGTTTTACCTTTAAACACTCTCCGAGTACATAAACTTGGTCATTTTCTGTTGCCACCGGGGATTAAAAATTCCAATTCTTTCTCTTTTGGTAGTATGACCCAGGGTCTGGGCACTTCAGAGGACTGTGTGGCCCTGAGGAAGTACTGTACTGATTTCTGGGATAAGTTTAAACAAAAATGGATTTATTTAATAAAGAACAAAATAGTTTTCTGTTTATTTTGAACAGTTGCTGAAGAAAGGAACTTGTAAATATAACTGGCAAAGCGTGGTGCTGCAAATAGTCTCTCAAATTCCAAACTCCACTCTGACAGGCTTGTACACTCAGTATACTTTTTGTCTCATATATATAGCTACCCAGGCTAGTCTCTTTGTTTTATTCACACTGAATGGAATCAACTCTCTTAGTCACACAGACTGAACTGTTGGTCTTATTCACACAGAATTAGACTCAAAATCCCATAGTCACACAGACTATGCTCACCCTTCAACTTCACACCCAGAATCCTTCCTAACTCTCAGAGTCACACAGACTCTCTTCAAAACTTTTCCATACTTGTCTCTCTCATACCACAGAATCTCCTCATAGACACACACACACAGAATCACTCTCATAGACATCTCTTCTTCCACACTCTCAGTCAGCAGTCAGTCAAATTACACTTGTCACCCTCTATCACTCTCCTTACATTACTGCAGTCAAACTAAACATTTAAAGGAACACACACACCAAAACATGGAATCATTACAACTTGGTTGCTGCTTTTCTGTAACACCCCCCCCCCTGGTGTCGGCGTCCTGACCTCGCTGTTCTTCTTTCTCCCCTTGCAGATGCTGCCATTTCCAAGCCTGACCTTCTGTCCCGGATCGAGGAGGGGGATGCTGCCACTCAGGGGGGGAGTGAGAACAGAGAGCCCCTTAAAGAATCCAGCCTGGGTGAGCGAGAGAGCCGGCGGCTGAGGAGCTGTGGGGGATGGGGGGGCAGTGTCTGCCCGCCAGACTCCATAGGGGAAGGGTGGCATCGGCGTAGGATGCTCTGTAGCCAGCACTGGTCCCGAGACTGTGAGATCAGCACAGATTTGATGGCCCTGCACTACAAACCCCCTGTCATGGCTCAGGTGGGGTGTCACCTGACGCTGCCACCATTCTGGTTCCAGGCTCCTTTGAGAAGGCCCAGAGCCCCCTCCCAAGACCTTCAGACCTCCCTTTTGGCCGAATAACAGGTGTGAGGACCAGGTAGAGTGAACAATGAAAATAGTTTATATTATAGGAGGTCAAACAACAAGGTGCAGAATAATAACAGTAAGTGGGTGAAAAGAAAAGAAATCAAATGCCCTAACGCGTTTAAATATAATGAAGTCCCTAGCTCACTATTCCAAGTGGCACTAGACTACTCACTCTTCTCTCAGGATGAGGCTTTCTTCCTGCAGCAGCCTTCCTCCTGGCTCTGCCCTCTGGGAAGAAGAACAGCTTCTGCTCTTTTTCAAGAACAGCTCTTATCAGAACTACGGCTTGCCCAAGGTCATCCAGCAGGTGCAAGTGGAGGAGTGGGGAATCAAACCCCGTTCTCCCAGATTAGAAGAAGAAGAAGAGATTGGATTTCTACCCCGCCCTTCACTCGGAGTCCCAGAGCGGCTTACAAACTCCTCTCCCTTCTGCTCCCCACAACAGACACCCTGTGAGGTGGGTGAGGCTGAGAGAACTCTGACAGGAACTGCTCTTTTTCAAGGACAGCTGTGCCAGAGCTTGTGACTGACCCAAGGTCACACCAGCAGGTGCAAGTGGAGGAGGAGTGGGGAATCAAACCCGGTTCTCCCAGATTAGAGTCCCTGCACTTAACCACTACACCAAACTGGCTCTCACTACACCAAACTGGCTCCCCAAATTGGAGTGATGCCTGTTTCCCCTCCCTTGTCACTCCACTGCTCTACTGAGTGGCAGCGAGCAGCCAAGCCTGGCAGCCTGGGCACACATTCATCCTGCGATGTCCCCTTGCAGAGTCAGGATCTGAACTTGGATATCCCCTATTCTTGTCCAGCACTCTGACCCAGGCCCATAGTCATGAGGGGGCATTTGGGGGCAACGCCCCCCCACATATGAGTGTCGCCCCCTCGGACAAAAAAATTC